AAATATATTCTATAAATCTTCAAATATTAAATATATTTATTTAATTGTAAGTTAATATGTAAAATTTTGTATAATTACATTTTAATTCAAATATATCAAGTTGGTGTATCATGCTTAATGAGATGATCAATAATTTATTACAATACTTAGATCTAATATTATATATAAAGTTATTTTATAGTCTTAATATTTATCTCTTAATCTGTAAGCTATTTTAAGTAAATTTGCTTAGAAAATTTATATAATACTACTATAATCTATATTTTTATAAAATTAAAATATTTAAACAAAATTTTTTTAATAATATTTAAAGAGTATTATTTTATAGTAATAGGTTACTATAGTAACTTTATATAATTAGCTAATCAAAATTAAATATATAACTAAATAATAAGTTGTTTACTATTAATTAACTAAAAATAGCTACAAATTTTTTAAATTTTATAATAAAAAATAAATTTTACTAACTCTAAATATAACTAGCTACTATATATAGAGTTACTATAGTGATAGTTGAGGTTTAATCTAATAAATAGTATATTCGAATATTTACTGAATATTCAAATATTCGAATATAAACTTTTTTATCGAATTGAATATTCAAATATATAATTTATTAATCAAATAATTCATTGAATATTCAATGAATATATATAATAAATTATGACATTTCTGATTAGCTAATTAAGGATTTACTAATTATCCTGTGATCCGAATTAGAGTTTTATGACATAGTCTAAAGATCTATTTTGCTCTAATTAGAGGTCGGAATCAGTTGTAAAATTTAAAACCCAAATTGTTTAAATACGATTATGAAAAAAACTGATTTATGCTAAACCGAATTGGTTTAAACTGAATTTAATTCAAATCATTGAATAAATATTTAGCTGAAAAGAAATTACTTTTTTATTATATTGGATATATTGTCATTAACATGTAATTTTGAAATTTAATAGAAAATAAAATAAAACTGAATGCTAATTTAAAAACTGGTTTGTCGGAGAGCTACAACTGAATTAGAATATTACAAAATAATTTACTATTTAAACTAGTTTAACTCGAAGTTGAAGTTGAATTTCATAATTCAGTTCTAACCTCTAGCTCTAATACTCAGACTTGGGTCTAGCACACTTAAAAAAGTTATATCATAAAAAAAAAATTTAAAGTGAAAATTTACAATAATACATATAAAATAAAATTATTTATTTAATGATTAATATAAAATTAATTTTTATTTAACAATAATTTAATTAATAACTGTTTTCAAAAAAAATCTAATATCATTTACTAGTAATACGGATCAACAAACATTAAGTTGTTCTCAAGCACCTCCCTCTCTAGTTAATAAAATAATCTAATAAGCTAAAAAAAGATTATGTTTAATCATTTCAGTCAAAAAACTTGACTCATCGTTTTTTTTCGTAAGTTACTCTTAATTGGCTGATATGATTGAAATCTCAATCATTAGCAAGTTACAATAAGGAAGTTGCTTTATCGGTTTGAAATCAAATCGATTTATTGACCTTTTTTTTTTTTTTTTGTAATATTTATATTTTGACGAAATCAAAAATCCTGCAAATTTTTTTATATATTTACAAGGCACCTGTGACAGAGGTCTGAACTAGAGATAGTCAATTGTTAATATTTCATTTACTTTTTTTTTTTTTTTTTTTTTGATCCAGACTAATATACAGATTTGAGAACAATCTAAACAAAACAATAAAATTGTTCCAGGCTGTTGATAAAATAGATAATGCATTTCAGAGCATTACAAATAATGCAATCAATTAGTTGGCCAAAAGCTTTTTAAAAAATTGATTATAAATCGATTATAGTCAACTAATATATTAACTAATTAGTTAGTTAATCGATTAATTGCTAATTGATTAGTTTGTATATTAAAATGGCTTAGATATAATTACATAGCCACTGATTACAAGATCAAAGTATAATATCATATAAAACAAACTAGTCAATTAGTCAACTAATTAATTAATTAACTAATCAATTGATTGATTAATTGTCGATTAGTTGTCTAATATAAAGGTTGGAACTAGTTTTAATAATTCAGGTTTATTACTTGAATTTTGTGATATTTTAGAATTTAATCTAATTAAATTTTAATAAATTCTAAAATATTACAAAATTCACATAATAAACCCGAATTATTAAAACTGGTTCCAACCTTTAGTCTAATAAATTATTAATCAATTAGTTGCCAACTTGATTAACTAATCGATTAATCAATTTTGATTTGGAACTAGAGATAGCAATGGTTATGATCAGCTATGATTTTCATAGTCAATTTTCTTAATTAAAATTGTTTAGAAATATATACTGTACATTCCATATTATAAGTAGAAAGAATGATACCTTCTCTGGAACTCAGAATTTCAAAATTTGTTAAATCATAACTAGTTATTTACCACTGGCTAATAAATTAACAAATTTTGAAATTCTGAGTTCTAGAGAAGGTATCATTCTTTCCACTTATAATATAGGATATACAGTATATAATTCTGAACAACTTTAATTAAAAACTCAAAAATAAAAAATCATCTTAATTTTTAGAAAATTGACTATGAAAATCATAGCCGATCGTAACTGTTGCTATCCCTATTTGGAACACTAACTTCAGAAGCTAATTTTGAATTTGTTAAATCACTATTGCATCAATCCTATATTTGGAATAGATAATGATTCTATAAATTCACTATTTGCTTCAACAAACTTCTGATAATGCATTATAATAACAATAATCAACTTGTAAAAATTATTCTTACCTACTGATTTTGATAAAAGATATCTGATTTTTTCAACAATAATTCCACATTAATCAATAACCACACTAGAATGTTCATATGAATCATTCATATCTGTGAAAGTGAATAATGATTAGCTGTTCTAACAATGTTAATAATTGTAATGTAGCATTAAGATTTCCCAAGCAAGCTTTTTATAGCAACATGGAGGAAGCTACAGTATAAGAAAATTAAAAGCCTCAATCTTTCTATATAGAAATAAATTTCTTAAATTACAATCTCAATAAAGCAAAGAATTAATCTCTTTGCATTAGAATAATGCATCAAAGATACTACTGCTAAGACTTAAAATAAATTGCTACTGAATTTAGCTTATCTTTAATGTATTATTCTATGTAAAGTGATTGAGGCTTTTATATTTCTCACATCATACATAATTTAGAGTTACAAACCCTAGCATATATCATTATTATCACTGAATTCTTTGGAAAACTAGAGAAAAAAGATTATTGATAGCAGTAAGATAAAGAATCAGGGAATAGTATAGACTTTAAATAAAGAATACTATGTATAAAATAGAATAAAAAAACTTATCTATGCAAATTAGGTATGATGCCCAAGAGAAAATATTTATGCTAATTATGCGTATAAACAAATTAAATTAAATATGAGGTTATATTTATTTCTGATTCATATATACAACCTGTTTTAACTCATAAATATATGCACATACATATGTTATCTGAATGAATATTAATTATTAGTAATAGTTCAGAAATATAAAAATCAAAGAATTTGAAGTTAATAAAGAAATCTAGTACCTATCTTTGAAATATAACTTTAACTCATTTTATTCTGATATCTTGTAAAGCTCTTGATTAATTAAACCAAAAATCGCCATTAGTAATATACAATAGAGGAATTTGAATCATTTGCAAATCTCATTACAAGATCAAATAGCCCAGACTCCAAAACTAGAAGCACAAGTGCAAAAAGTGATAATGAAACCTCTAATATGTCTGCTATCAAAAAAACTAAGGTTAGTCAAAGGGGTAGTTCAAAAAAATGAAGCTAGATATGGAGCTACTTCAAAGAAAAAAAAATGTTAGAATCTATTCAAAACCTCAATAAACAAAAAGTTAATATTGAAGTCATATATGCTATTTGTCAAATATTAAATGATTCAAATAAAGAATGTTGTAACATTCGATTGAAAACTTCAAATGGCTCAATATCAAACTTAATAACCCACCTCTTAAGCGCTCATAGTAATACAAAGAATGAGCCTGGATTATCAAACAGTGACAATAGCAAAGTAATAAATAATTAAATTAATAATTAAACTAAAAATTTAACATCTAATTTTATTTATTATTTCACATAGCCTACACAAACTAAAATTGATTCATTCATAAAAAATGCATATCCTTATAACAAATCAATAAATAATAAGCTCACTATAACTCTTATTAAATTTATTATCTGCAGTGCCCAACTGATTAGTCTTGTGTCAAGCCAATTTTTTTGTGAGTTCATAAAGGAATTAGATCCAATGTTTAATATGCCAAACGAAAAAAGTGTAAAGGAAACAATTCATAAAATATATG